GGTGTGGCAGTAGCCTAAAATGTACGGGTCTGTCGAAGTTCTGGGTCGCCATCATTCCTAATCATTCCAGGACATTTGGAACTTATATGGTTTCAGTGCGTAATTTGTCCCATCTTCTACAATAAAATAAATTAAGATAAAATTGGCACCTTAGCGCCGAATTAATCTTGTATCTAACTTATGTGTACACATTATTTACTTATGTGAACACATGATTTACTCATGCGTACACATGATTCACTTATGCGTACACATGATTTACTTATGCGTACACATGATTTACTCGTTTTCAGTTTTTCCGGTGCTTCAGCTGTTGAGGCTAACGACCATCAGTAACAGCGACTTCGTGCGATCATCAACAGTTTATTATTAGATTAACCCGTTAACTTCACCTTAAGAACGTTATCTGAGTTACCCTAACGGTGACCCAAGAACGTACAGAGTTCAAGGTTGCTGCCACACTGCAAGAATCCCTACTCTTCAGATCAGTGTATACAAACTGAGGGTTAATTACATATAGTATGTATTTAAAAATTTTCCGGTGGGATTGAAGATGTTGATCTTTAAATTTGATCATATATATCACGATGAAAACTTCCTTTTTATCGGTAATATTTCTGTACGGAGTAAAAGGCTTATTGTAATACATTAAAATTATCAACGAAGGAAACAAGTTTGGAAGTAGTACTTTGATCAAGAATCTGTTCAGTTTTTGCATGTATTTTTGTTACGTTGCACATTATTTGTAGTTATCATAACTCTAAATATTTTTGTATTTATAACTGTAAATCTTAACTGTAAATGTTGTGCCTGCTTGATAAATAGTCACGGCTATTGTTATTGATATGTAAAACATTATTTAAATGTCACACCTGACACGTGTGCGGCCATCTTTTCATTGCTGCCTCTTTTCCTGTTCCTTGTTAATGTATTGCGTTAATACGCAATGGTGCACTATACGCACTTGTGTGTAATAAAGTAGATTCTAACTTCAATGCACCTCTAAATTTTATTAAATGTTTTCTAAGATTTTGGTTTCTTAAGATTAACTTAACTAAAGTAGCTATTATACTCATAGTAATGACAAAGCCGATAATATTCACCATATTTTCAATAAGACATGACGGTAGAGTCGGCATTGAAACATAACTGAACAAACAGTAGCGATATCCTATATTCTGTCACTAGAACTCACGTACGTGGGTTCGACATCCCGTTATGTAAAGGACTTGTTCTAACCCATTTCTCCTAGATCCTAATTACCAAAATGGGGGTTTCATACACATTAATAACATGTGGTTCATAACCATTCATGACATTTAGTTCATAACCCTTCGTTACTTTAGTCACTAAAGTAGGTATACACTAAAGTTTAGTGTATACCTACACTTGGTATAGGTATATGACATGTATAATGATTGGTGATCCTCCCGGAAATGTAGAAATGAGTGCCTTGTGAAGTGCCACACATAAGTTCCACATAAATTTGTGAGTGTTCGCTTTGCATGCGAAAAGCCCCGGGTTCGATCCCCGGCACCTCCAGTTCTTTTGTTACATTTTCAGTTTATTTTTTCATCGTCATGAGAAGTCGCTTAAATGAGTCCCTTTAATCAAATGTGCATGTTGCATATTTAAACATCTTGTGTTTACTATTGAGGTATTTATAAATTTGTAGTACCACAGTTTACCGAAGACTTGTATTATCTATGTAGAGCGTTAAAATAATGCAGTTTAAATGCTTTTTGAAGTTAACAACAATTAGCCTGATTTGTTCGGAATGTTCTCGTACTTCCTTTTCTTCTCTACATGCTATTTATTATTGGCATATTTACGTTACTACCTACATTTGTTATCTTAATGTTGTGATCTTGGCGTTGCTGCTATCCTCTATTTATCTTCTTACGTTCCCTTTTATAATATTACCTTTCTTCATATGTTTATGCCTGTCATCCGTCGGCTGTTGTGTAGATATTAATGCAATTTCTTGCAATAGTTATTAATGCAATTTATTGCAATAAATATTAATGCAATTTCTTGCAATAGTTATTAATGCAATTTATTGCAATAAATATTAATGCAATTTATTGCAATAGATATTATTGTAATTTCTTGCAATAATATCTCGTGTCGTCGGGACTGCATAAACCTTATGTATTTTATCACTCAGAGAAAATAACGTAACTTTCCAAATAGCGATTCACTTTTAGCCTTTGTGTGGGTCATCCTGACCCAGTTTAGCTCGGCACAAGAGCGTATCAGGTTTACGGCCGCTCTCTGCTTGTATTGTGGGTCAATATAAGTGTGTCTCTATATGGACATTGTGGCCCATCAATTTTTTTGAGTGATATAGTCGACTCTTTATGTAGACTGCATGTATACTCCTGTATATATTAGCTTTTTGTTAGTTTTTTTCAATAAGTCGTACTAAATTCTTCGTAGGTGTTGGAATCTTCCAACACTTACGAAGAATTTAGTACGACTTATTGAAAAAACTAACAAAAAGCTAATAAATAAAACTAATTCTCTGGTCTTTAACAAAACTTGCTTAAGAGAAGAAATTCTGCCAGCCTATACTAATATCCTGTATATATGTGTACCGGTCTACATGTATGTATACTCCTGTGTGTGTACCGGTCTGCATGTATACTCCTGTATGTATTACGGTCTGCATGTATACTCCTGTATGTATTTATACGGACTCCATGTATACTTCTAAATACACAGCCCGGTACCTTTTAAGTAAGCGGTTCTGATAAGCTCTTATCAACTAAGCTTATTGATTACAATTAATACATAAATAGCGTTACCGTGTTTGACTCTACAATGAATTAATGGCTCTACTCGAGTGAATAAATATTATTTGTGAACATTTTTGCATTGCGTGATCACTTGACACTGTGAATAATTGTACGGTGAGTGAATAGCTTTAATTAATATAAATGGCTACTAATTAAGCATTTCATGTGGAGTTGTCCAGGTATTTGAGCCTCGTGCGGTCACTTGTGTTCACTGCGCCAACAAGTTACATACATTTTTGTTTGCTCTGCAGAAAATCGCCGCGTCAGAAAAGAAGCCTACAAGAGATCAAAAATTTCCAGTATGTAGCCCTTTGTATTAAACTCACATCTTGCCTCTGCTTTCACTGCTATTACCATTGCCTTCATTTCAAGTTGTCTTTGTTTCCATTTCAAGTTCATTTGCCTTCACTGCAGCTTCCTTTGCCTTCACTGCAGCTTCCTTTAATTGCCTTCACTGCAATGTTGTCGCTCGTTCAATTGTGATTGAGTTGCAATCCGTACGTGAGATCCCCGCAAGTGTAGCAATATTGCAAGTTCTGAGGTATATTCATCTAAGAACTGCAGGACGTGAAATAGAACCTGACAACCAACTCTTAATTGTATCGAAAACTCACGTTTGTGAAGAATTAGGATTTTTTATACCCTTTGGCTTGGAATCAATCGAGATGTTCGCCTTTTTTTGTGTAATTTAAATTGGGGTTCGAAGTTGGTAACAGATTTAATAGAATCGCTTTTGCTGCATCAATATTTTTGATTGTGGTTACGGATTTGATGTTGCATAGTTGAAAATTAATTTATTTATGAGCAAGCATAATAGGATATTTTATGCCTGGATTTTTTATTTGCATTATTAAGATCATGCAATTCGACGGTGTTTTTTGGTCACCATCGGTAGTTTGTTTTCTGCTGGACCAGCACGACGACATGTTCTCTTTTAACCTAAAACTTAGTCTCTATCGTATAATTATAGTTATCGGTGCATTTCGACAGCAAATGTTATTCTATTATTAAAATGTTTGTCGATAGTGGTATGTATACAACGATGTATGTTATGTTTGAAATGAAAATGTTTCGGCTGGCTCTAAAACGGACATAAATTTCAAAGATTCATGCGGTGTATAAAATAACCCTATAATTCTTCAAGGATTGTAAACAATTTCACCTGAAGAATTAACTCCTTGACTTTATTGGAAGAAGAAGTCAAATGAGATCACTTAACGAAGTTACAACGAAGCTTTCCACGGTGTCCTGCAATGAAGATATCGAGTCAACAGCTTCTTCCCGGGAATATTGTCACATCGCTAAATTTTGTTTGCTTTTGTTTTCTTTCATTCGCTAATTTTTAGCAAAACCTTGCACTATTTCCACCTACATTTTATTTGTTGTCGCACTTCTCGTAATTGTACCTATAATATCGTTCCTTTATCCTTTGTATTAAACTCACTATATATTATGGTAATCCTGTACTCACCCGCACTAAGCTTTTTGTGTTATTAAACGAGCAATTTTTATTAATTATTTATTTAAGGATTAAATCTCTTAAAAAATGGCACTTAACCTGGTCTCTGACGTCATGCACTGTTAAATAATTTTTAATCGTCCAATCTTAATTAGCCATATTTTTCTTTAAACATTATTGAACATTTTTCTACCTCCTTTGCCTGGCACGTATTCCGTATATGCATTCAATGTTTATTGCTTCTCACTAAATTTACTTTTAACATTTCAACAATGCGTGCCTCACTATCGCACCATTGTTATATTTGATTACGTCTAATATTGTATTGTGAATTCTGTTAGAATTAGACAGATTTAAATTAATTATGCATTGTTTTAGAATGATTTACCCTTGCCTAGAATGAACTTTGAAATTTAGCTGACGTCACAGACGTAAATTTGTCGTAGTGACTTACTACGAATAATTTACTAAAACCGGGTACTGTGTTATCATGCCTCATGTGATATTAATTATTCCAGTATTTTATAGTTTCAATAATTCTGCACAATTCAATCATGCCTCAAATGATATAACTTACTCCAGTATTTTATAGTTTCAGTAATTCTGCACAATTTAATTTTATTCTTGTATTATATATGAGTTTATATTTGTGTTGTGCAGCCCGGTATATTATAGATTCAATAATTCTACACAATTTAATTCAATCTTTGTATTATATTTGAGTTTCCGTTTGTTTTGTGCAGCGCGCGCAACCGCGGGACGAAAAAGGACGCGCAGACAGCGGAGGAGCGGCGACGTCTGAGCGTGATGCCCGAGGATGAGGAGGGCGAGACCGAGGGCATCACCATCAAGGTGATCCAACCATAAGTGCGCACCATATGCATCACCATCAAGGTGATCCAACCATAAGTGCGCACCATATGCATCACCATCAAGGCTGTCTCTTATACACATCTAGATGTGTATAAGAGACAGCTATACGACACCACTTGAAGGTTGAACTAACACCCTACACCACTTGAAGGTTGAACTAACACCCTACACCCCCACAGGTGCGCACCTTCATCAGCGACTTCGCCGTCATCATCGCCATCCTGCTGATGGTGGGGCTGGACATGCTTATCGGCATCCACACGCCCAAGCTGGAGGTGCCCAGCAAGTTTGAACCCACCTGGGAGGGCAGGGGCTGGCTCATCATGCCCTTCAATGGTGAGTGAACCCACCTGGGGGGCAGGGGCTGGCTCATCATGCCCTTCAATGGTGAGTAAAATACTTTTCCTCAATAACTGATATTGATATATTGCTATTGATTACTATTACAATTTGATAAGAAGCGGGCGTCTGTCTGAGGTCGAAGCATTCTCAACTGTGCGCTAGTAAAGTTTGTGCGCTAGTAAAATTTTTTAAAGAGAATTACATTAGTGAGCTGGAAGTGAGGGAAATACGAGCATGACCTTTAATTTCCATGCTTATTATTACAATGTCTAGTAAAAATCCTGAGGTTTAATTCATGACTATGAGTTGCAGTAAATAGTTCACTGTATAGATATAATTGGCATAACCGTTACTGTGGACAAGAATATCTCACTGTTAGGAACATGATTGAGCGCAATGAAAGGAGTGAGTGAGTGAGTGTGTATATGAGCAAAATGAGGGATGGAATGCAATTAGAAAAATGAGAGATTGAGTGTAGTGAAACACATTGGTGAGAGCGTGTGAGTGAATGAGTAACAGCAAGTGTGGTGTAGGTAACCCGTGTGAGTAACAGCAAGTGTGGTGCAGGTAACCCGTGTGAGTAACAGCAAGTGTGGTGCAGGTAACCCGTGTGAGTAACAGCAAGTGTGGTGCAGGTAACCCGTGTGAGTAACAGCAAATGTGTTGCAGGTAACCCATGTGAGTAACAGCAAATGTGTTGCAGGTAACCCGTGGTGGACCGGTCTGGTAGCGGTGTTACCAGCGCTGTTAGCCTGCATCCTGATCTTCATGGACCAGCAAATTACTGCCGTCATCATCAACAGGAGGGAGTTCAAACTCAAGGTACTCATCTTATTCAGGCAACTTGACAGTTATCCATCAGGAAACATCAATTTTATCTTTTATTCACCAAGCCACCTTTTTATTTTATCCAAGCCACCTCATCTCATACGCTCTAACTTTTGACTAAATTTATAACGTGAAGGGATCATTAATATTATCTCTAGGCACCTCCCATAAATCTTGGATGGCTGATCAAAATTCACCTGAATGGCACCTTGAATGGCTGATCTTGTGCCACCTGGGCCTGTTCTGTGCGGCTGTGCTCGTCTTACTCAACTCTGTAACCCTGTGTCCCCAGAAAGGTGGAGGGTATCCCCTGGACCTGTTTTGCGTGGCTGTACGGTACTCATCTTACTCACTCTGTCCCCAGAAAGGTGGAGGGTAACATCACCATCAAGGTGATCCAACCATAAGTGCGCACCATATGCATCACCATCAAGGTGATCCAACCATAAGTGCGCACCATATGCATCACCATCAGGTGATCCAACCATAAATGGGCACCACACGCTGGCAAGATCAACATACACAAATTACGCTCGTATTTATCGCTATTTTCATTAAGGAATGTAGAGGGAAAAAATTAAGTTTCACGAGGTAACGATCCAGACAAATTTCTGTCACATACGCAACTACCAGACGTTATCTAACAATGAATTACAAATCATCAATTATGAGTATTAATAATAGATTAATAATAAATTAAACAACTATTGTATTAATTATCCGGTGTATTGGGCTAACACAGTCACGATACACACGCTGCCTTACACGCCTCCAGTTTGTGTGTTGTACACAAGGTATTGTGTACACACAGTATTAGCTATTGTGACGTGTGTATTGTCTCAACACACGTCACAACACACGAGGTAACAGCTGTGTAGTGCACACTATACAGCCCTGTGTGCACAGCTGTTTATACGAAGCAATAATTTTCAAAGCCTGCAATAACATTTATTCTGGTTGGTGTAGCCGTGTGTGCTTGAAGGTCTCCTGTATATATTTGAAAAAAAAATATATTTAATGCCTTTATAATTTGTAGCTTATATTTCTCGTCTTCCATTCATTTGACGCTCCATATATATAAGCTGTGACGTGCAGAGCTTCCCTTGCTTACCCATGAGGGAAAGCCCTCGGGCTGCGAGGGCTCATCTTTATAATATAAATTCCAAGAAAATATAAAATAATGTAAAAAAATAAAATTTACCTTTTAAACTAATTTAATTTGCCACAAAAAGTAAGACGATGACGTAAGAATCCGCTTTACAAGCTTTGTGTAATATGTTTCTCTAAGCTATCTACCTTCTTTCAGACGGCAGTATGTGACGATTTTAAAAAACTGAGCAGCTTAAGTTTTATTTCTTAATCTATTCATGCCTCGCGTAATTTATTTGCCTTGTTCTAAACTATCGCTTTTTATCAGAAACGTAATATTTAAGACTAAATGTCTGGAAGAAAGTTGAAAACTTCCCTTCAAACCGAGTCTGTCCGTTCACCATTTCACCCGTACAGTGAGTGTTGCTGTAGGGCTGGCTAGTTAAACCACCTTATCCTCTCCGTAACATAAGTTACGTTACGTTACGTTAGTAAGAAGCTTAACCTTGAGTTTAAACAGCTACTACACACAGTCACGTGAATGGGACTTTGTCCAAATACCGATGCACTTTTCGCCCTTGTGTGTGTCATCTTGACCTAGTCAGGCCTGACAAAAAGTGATACGTCCTCTGTCGAATTTGGAAATTGTCGAAGGGTGTCGAATTTGGACATTGTCGAAGTGTGTCGAATTTGAACATTGTCGAAGTGTGTCGAATTTGGACATTGTCGAGGACATTGTCGAAGTGTGTCGAATTTGGACATTGCCGAAGTGTGTCGAATTTGAACATTGTCGAAGTGTGTCGAATTTGGACATTGTCGAAGTGTATCGAATTTGGACATTGTGACTCGTTCATTTTTCTAAGTGGGTAGCTACTTCCAACTTGGTGATCTTTTCGGCAGCTTAAATTTCGTATTCAGTATTCTTATTCTGGATAATCTGAAAAACGTTAAAAAAGCCGAAGTGCGTTTAAAAATAGAACGCCGATTCAGTATTCAAGTAAGGATAATTCGAGATCAGAGTCAGAAGTAAGTTAAAAAAGCTAAAGTACGTTAAAGAATAAAACGCACAAGTACTATCTTCTAACCTGTATGTCAATATTGTTTTATTTATAAATTATTTTAATATTGATTTCAGAATTTTTTTTATTTAATGTCCACTGAAACGTAGATATGCGTAGAGCTGCCATCAGTACGATATATTATTAGTGCTACTTACGATCATTCGTATGTTAGTCATTTTATTAACTGGCTTCCGATTATAATTTGTATTGCTCGCTGCACTTAGTTAAACTATAATAATTAGACTGTATTCTATAGATGCAGTGTTGATGCGCAGTGTAAAGAAATTGTTAACCTTACAATAAGTTACATGTTTTTTTATTATGAAAAGTTAGTGTGGAGGTAATGTTGCCTCAGCATGCATGTTCATTAAACATACAGTGAATTCTAAATTTCTAATGCATAGTTGAGCTTACAAGCGCAATATTGCTTTTTATGCCGTCAGGACTCATGTCATATAATGCTTAATGATGTCATGTGATGCCATATAATGTCAAGTGATGTTATATGTTGTCATGTGATGCCATGTGATGCCATGTGATGTCTTGTGATGCCATATGATGCCATGTGATGCCATATGATGTCATGTGATGCCATATGATATATGATGTCATGTTGTGTGTTGCCTGCTGGAAAAATTCACTCCTCTCTTCACCACCACACTCCTTCATTGCCTGCACGCCTCTCCACAACACTCCCTTCATCACACTGTCCACTTCACCACACTCTTTCTTCACACCACACTCCCTTCATCACACTTTTCACTTCACCACACTCTTTCTTCACACCACACTTCCTTCACCATACTCTTAGTTTTACCACACACTTCCTTCATACTCTCCCTACACACTCTCTTTTCAGACACATTGTCGTGTATAGCTTCGATCCCTTTCTGTATTTCCTTTATTTTGTTCATTGTAGTTCTCCCGTGTTTTATGTACTATTCAAAGCTATATTTTTTTTTCTGCGAAGGCCTTCAATAAAAGCGTTTTTTTTTTCTTCCTAAATATGTACACCTCACGCTTGTTTTCCCATCAATCAGAGAAATAAGCGTGTCTTTTACCTGATATTGGTACTTAATTTTTTACCTGATATTGGTAAATAATCTTTTACCTGATATTGGTACTTAATTTTTTACCTGATATTGGTAAATAATCTTTTACCTGATATTGGTACTTAATTTTTTACCTGATATTGGTACTTAATTTTTACCTGATATTGGTAAATAATCTTTTACCTGAAATTGGTACTTAATTTTTTACTTTATTATGTCTCTTGACCTGGTTTGGCATGACAAACCGGTGCTACGCGTAAAAATTGCTTCACTATTTGGACCTTATTTTTATTTACAATTTTTTTATCATTTCGTAGAACCTTAGTATTTTTTTAAATTATTTTTTATCATTTATTATCGGATCAAATATCACATAATTGTCCTATAACTAATTATTTCACCTTATTTTCTTTGATAAAAATGTATATTGTTCCGTTCCCGGTCCAAATACCGGGTGTAAATTTTTAGTATGTGCTGTTTTTGTGTAAAACATTATTATATTTTTCTGTTAAATCAATTGGCCGGTTGTTCGATAGCCCTTCATTGAAGGAAAGCTTTGAATATTGCACCAGTGTACCTCTGGTTGGCTTACGTATGTATAACTCTATATCTTTGGAGATATTTTTAATTATAGTAAAACCTACTCAGTAAACCTTTTAGTTTGCTTGCCCTATCTTCCT